GTTACTATTTTGCCTGTATTTGTTCCTGTCTTATTCATAATCTGACTCTCATGAAAGTCTCATGAATTTTAAGTTGAATTTAATCACAACACTAAATCATCCATTTTTGCTTAATGTCCTACTGATGTGGTACCTGTACTGCCTAACACTTCATAACAGAAAAGAATAATAGTTACAATATTGTTGTTAGTGCATTTTGATATTGAGTAACAAATAACAAATCTAATGTACAGGGAAACACTTAGATTGTATAATTATAGCTTTGTTTGCCCTTAAGAAAATCATTGTGCAAGCCAGATATGGTAATGCACACCTGTAATCCCAGAACTGGGGGGTAAGGCAGGAGAATCTCTGTGTGTTCAAGGCCAGCTGGCTTACCAAGTGAGACCCTGTCTCAAAAAAAATCACATGCAGACCAACTTCATTAACTTCTTGGATTATGTAAATGTCAGGATTTCAGTCTCAAAAGAAGTCCTGCTTCAGTGGTGATCATTCTTTGTTCTTCCAGGGATTGTCACTGAAAAAACAAAACTATCTTTAAAGGGTAGGTTTAGTTCCAACAACTCTTTTATTTATTTTTATTTTTTTTTTGTATTTTTACTGGTACCAGGGATCGAACTCATGACCACACGCTTCCAAGGCAGGCACGTATGTCACTGAGCTAAATCCCCAGCCCCCAGTTCCAACAACTCTTTCTGGACTAAATAACTCAGTTCTTCAGGTCTGTAATCAGTTACACAGTGGTTTGACAAAGAGCTGGGAATAGTACTGATCCAGGATCATTGCGCAGAAACTTAAGTTTGTAGAACATTTCTGGCGCTAACATACTTGGAGAAACAACTAAAATTTTATAGTATAAATCAGATGATCAGTGTCCCCATTGGGTTTGCAGACTTTGTTTTTGAGTGTGGAGGTGGGGCACACAGTTCAGTTAGTTACTGTATTCTTGGAAAAATTTCTTAATCGGTGTGTTAGGTGGCAAGCCTAAAGGCCTCCAGATCTTCCCATGAAACTACAAGATGTGCACACCTGTAATCCCAGTACTTGAATGAACACCTCCATCTGTATATTGGCTTGTACATGAATGTCCAGGTATATCACTTGGACTCATTTGACTGAGAAAAGCAAGGCTTGATTGTAAAAAAGGAAATGTTTGGCTGGTCCAAGTGCAGTGGTGTTTACAACTAATTGATCACAACCAGTTACAGATTTCTTTGTTCCTTCTGCACTCCCACTGCTTCACTTGACTAGCATTAAAGAAAAAGAAAGAAAGAAAGAAAGAAATGTTCATAGAGTAGCACACTGAAGAAATTTGAATATTTGTAACCTCTCCAGACCCTGCTTGGCTAAATGTGACGATAAGAGTGATTTTGATTCTGAGTTCTTTGTAGTATGATTCCTTCTAGGCTGTCTTCTCCTTTGTTTGCTGCTGGAAGCCGGTCTGTAGCTTCTTTTATAACTTCTGCAGCTGCTAATGTTCTTGATCATTGAACTTCTGAAGTTGGCTATTTTTCTCCTGACATTAAATGGGTGACTTGGGTGATTTACAGCATTTTACATGTAGCTCTTCTCAGGTGAAAGGCCACTCTTGATTGGTGTTAAAACTATTCTTCTAAAATGGGAAAAATCATTTTATGTTTTGTTACCTGTTTACATAAGGAATTTAGAAGTGCTTTCTAGGGCCATGCCTGGTAGCCTTTGTGTGGCATTACTCAGTGTCCTACTTGGATGTACTGCTTTATGCCAGAAGACTATGCAGCTGAACTAAAGCTCAGGACTGTTGACTTTCTCCTACTTGAAGGTTGGTTCCCTGAATATTCATGAAGGAGTCAGAGGTGCTTGTCTTCTCATACTTAAATACCTTTTTGCACAAGAAGAACATATACATACTTTTTGTTGTTGTTGTTGTACTGAGAACTGAACCTAGGGCTATATACTCAGCCCTTTTTATTACTTTTTTTTGAAACAGGGACTCTCTTAAGTTGCCAGGGCTGGATTTGCTTTCTGCCTCAGCCTCTCAGAGTTGTGAGATTACAGGAATGAGCCATCACACCTGGCTCACAAGTCAGTTTAAAAAATAGGTTATTGCCAGAATGCTGAAGCAGGTTCTAGCCCATCCCAGGTAATGTAACAAATTGGAGAGACCCCATATAAAAATAAATAAAAGAGCTGAGATATAGCTCAGTCCAGAATTCCTAGATTCAATTGTTCCTACTACACACACGCGCACACCCACACACACACATCATCATCATCATCATCATCATCATCATCATCATCATCATCATCATCATCTTAAATTGGCTGTTGCACCTTGCTGCTTGATGTGAACTTTCTCATGACTTTCTTCAGGACATGTGTGGGAGTCTCTTTTGCTTAGTTGTTTGGCCTCTTCGGCCTCTTTCAGCAGTATCAGACCAACATACTTTGACCAAAATTACCTGGATGGGCTCCACTTTCATCCACGGTGTGATTCTCAATAGTAGTAAATTTTTAGGATTACCTTCCTGATCTCTTCAGGTGTTTTCCCTTCCTTTTGTCACTTCAGGCTACACTGTTGTTTTGCACCTGTGTTCTTCAGCTTGTTTCCATATTCTTGGCCGTGGAATCTCAGCTGAGGCTGCTTGGAAACCACAGTATGACTCCATAGATTCTTCCAAAGACCATCAAGCCCCCACTCAGCCATCACTGCATTTTTCCTTTGCATTCTGAGTTACTATCCTTTGGCCTTGCATTCTGAGTTACTATCTGGTGCAGTGACGTGAGACCTTGTTAATAAGAACTACCATCTTGCCATTGTAGTTTCAGCTTTAAACTCTTCTGAAAGCCTTTAAACGTTGATTTTTAAAGATGGTGGCACATGCTCTTAATTCTCAACTACTTAGGAGGCTGAGGCAGAAGGATTGGCAATTTATCAAGATCCTGTCTCAAAATATAAAATAGAACTAGAGTACCCATAGGTTTGATCCTCAGTATCAGGGAAAAATATCCTACAAGGAGATTATCTACATTACAGATGCACACCACAATGGCCAGCACAAATTATTATACTGGATTCTAAATGATGTAAAATTCTCTTCCTGTTCATCAGATACATAATGATGCAACATATATCTGTTTGTTGTAGCATGACCTGAGTAGTGTCTGTCCTTTGTTGACAGTTGGACATTTTCAGAGCATTGACCCAGTAATAAATGGGCTAGAGATATAACTAGACACGTATTACACTCACTTGTTTAAAAATACTTAATTTGGGGATTATAAGTGTATGTTTTTCTTCCATAAAGATCACATCTCCCAAAGAAAAAGCTTTCATTGACATATATGCACATTCTTTGATGTCTAGATGTTAAAAGCTAAGAGGTGTACTTCTAGAAGTTCCTATATTCTATTGGAGATATTCTGTCGACTATACATATAATAAATAGATTGTTGTAAACTGGCATGGTAATGCACGACTGTGATCCCAGCACTCAGCGGGGGAGGCAGGAGTTCAAGACTAGCTTGAACTGTGTAGCAAGACACTGTCTCTGTGAATGAGTGAATGAATGAATGAATAAAGGAATGTGGATTGTTACAAAATTAAAGCATAATTTAAAAGTTTAGGAAGCAGGCTGTGGATTTAGCTCAGCAGCACAAGCGCCTGCCTTGCAAGCATACAGTCGTGAGTTCTCTCCCCGGTACCAACCCCCCCCCCCCAGGAAAAAAAAAGTTTAGCAAGCTGATTTTAAAAACCAAATGTAAATGGGATTTATATAGTCTGTGACTTTGGGATGATGAAAAAGACTGACATTTGATGAGCTGAATTATTCAAAGAGTCTTTGAGTATGTGCTTTCCCAAACAGAATGTTAGTCAACTTCCTTTTCACTCAGTTTTTTGTAAAGCTAAAATTTTTATTACTCCAGGTTCTCTATTTTTTCTTGATCTGTTAAATTGTATATTTAGGTTAAGAGAAAACAGCTTAAACACTACTTAGAACATCTTACTTTTCCAATCTCTGGTCACTTCCTGTAGTCTCCTGTTCCCTGACAGTGTTTCAGTTTTTTTAAGCACAGTGTTATTGTTTTATGCAGTGACTTATAGATTGTTGCAAATCTGAAAGATTTGTGGATCTGTTTTTATTGATTCTTATTTCTGGTGGCGTGATTTCTTGTGAGTTTTAAGATGTTGCGACCTTTTTGTTTGCTTTAATTTTTATTTTAATTTCTTCCCCTGGGATCTGCTTATTACCCTTAAAAATTATTTAAGGGTACGCCTGAGATCACAGTTGGAGGTGTCTTGGGAAAGTTGTTTGCTTATTCTAGGCATTCTGGTACTGTCCATCCAAGAGCACCTCACAGCTAACCGTTATTCTTTAGCCTGAGGGTGAGAAACTCATGCTGCAAATCCACAATGATTGGCTTCTGGTCAGGTTTCCAGAAACCTGGTTCTCTACACTTCCCCTCTTGCGCCTCCTGTCCAAGGCTAGCTTTCTGCAGGCCAGAGGAGCAGAGAGGGTTGCTTCAGGGTCACCTTTGTGCAGAGGAGTGGGGACTCAGCTCGTGGGACGGAATCACACTGTGCTGCTGTTGCCCCATTTCTCTTCTTTACTTCTCCCTAGGTTTTTCTCTGGTTGTTTCTTCTGTCATGCAACTCTTGGTTTTAAAGAAATGTCTTTTTATTTCTATTTTATCTGATGTTTGCAGTTTTTCAGTAGGAGGACTGACAATTCGGAGAGGCTTGCATGGTGAGTGTATGACTAGGCTGCTTTAAAAATCACACTGCTGGTCAGGGCCTGAAACTCCTGGAAACTGCTGTTTTCCTTCCACCCCAACACTGCCTTTGGAGACTTGTTCCTGAGCATAGTCTTAAAGTTGTGAATGAAGTAGGCATATGTTTAGGACATTTAAAAAAATATGTTAATATTTCCACAAAATTATTTGGACCATTGGCTAATATAGGTTACACTGTCACAGCTATTAAATGGAAGATAATAATTGTGGCCTCTTTTTTTTTTCAGCTGAAGTGAGTAGTGAATATAGTATGGACAAGGCAATGGTTGAATTTGTCATAATGAACCGGGAACTAAACCATTATGTTACGGCTGTTCAATCTGCAATAAATCATGTAAGTGTATGTCACCTTGTTTTTGTCACCTAAATATAGAAATAAAATCAAAATTATTTTCTGACTTTTAGTAGATCCTTACCCTTACTGTAGCAGTTATTAATTTGTTAATTAGGAAATAGAATAAGAATCTTAAATATATTAGGTAGGCCATCTGGAGTAATTAGCATATTACATCTATTTTAGATTGTCTCAAATTTTTTTCTTAAAATTTTTGTGTGAGCTGCTCCTTTAGAATATGAGATTTTTTATAAAATGCTAAAATCGGATACAACTTTACTTTTATTGTGATATTTGCTTGAATGTACATTTTAGATTAGATTTAGTTACTCATTCTCCAGCTTTAACTGAATCGTATCTTTTGCAAGATTCTTAAAATCAGATAATATGGAAAACTTAGAGCAAGTTTAAAAATGAAAAAGGTTGGCATTTTGATTTTTCCAGAAGCCAGGCTTATCTCTGTTGACTCCGGCAGTCACAGGAACAGCACAGAAGGCAGTTAAGGTGGGAACATAGCAACATCCTTTTTGGTAGTGCTGTGTTGAGTAAGAAATGAGCAATATGATTGCAGTAATGTTTCTGAGAAGTCCTTTGTCCTGCTAGTAGTGGAAACTCCCTGCTGAACTGATTTCATATACCTATGTAATGAGAGTGTCTTGTACTTCTGGTTTCTTTATTTGTTTTTTCTTATATAGCTATGGGAAAATTCCAAAAATGAAATATTTAACAAGATCAGCTACTCTTCCATAGAAAATACATTTTATTTATCTTTATTTGTTTGAGCTTTTATCATTTTTTATGGAGAAAAAGTAGAGCAGAATTTCATAACAAAATAATAAAATAATAACAATAATACATTGCATATTAAAAATCTTTAAAATAGTTACTCAGAGTACAAGATATGGGCATAAAAATTTTTCAGTCAATATTAGCACAAATCTTCCTTTTCAGTGAACTAAGAATCACAAACAGTATAATAAACTTGCTTTTTTTCTTTTTTTTTCCTGTTTTGTTTTTCCCTTCCTGAGTTTTCCCTCGGGGTTTTTATTTTATTTTATTTTTGATTTTTTGAGACAGGGTCTCACTGTGTAGTTCAGGCTGGCCTTGAACTCACAAAGATCAGTTTAGGCTTATCACACGAATGAGTTTTGCTTTGACCCTTATGTTTTATGGAGGTTGCTTGATAACTATCTTTAACTTTCATACTGTGCAAATGTTAATATCAATATGTATTATAAGAAAATGAAATATTTTATTCAAAGAACTTAATGTTGATATTTTTTCTACTAAATTTTTAAGAGTCACTTAAGGTAGTTTTATACCAAGACTTGAACTGCCCACTTCAAACTACTGGAGTCACTCAATTAAAAAAAAAACGTTGTACACAAAGAAATCACGTTCAATAGTTAACCACATTTCTTTCATCTTGGGTCTCACTGAGTTATCTTCACCCTGCTTGCAGAGGAGATACTGCAGAATTTTATGTCACTTCAATTATCTCCCTTCTTAACACTAACTTCAAACAGTGGTGCAGATGGAGTTAAGGGTTCAAGGAAGGAAGGTCACTTTCATAAGAAGGTAGAACATGTTTCTTTTCCTTTTCTCATGCTTAATTATGCTGTCTGCAAACTTGATCAAAAGTTTCTGGGACCTAAAGCCATATAGGACCTGATAGGAATGAGATTATTATTTTGAGGGAGATATTTCATACCACTTTTCTTAATTGAAGTGATAATATAACCTGTTTTTATGAGGTATAAAACATGAACAGCAGCTTGGGAGGGGCCCAGAAGGTCTAGTTCTATAGAAATAGCAATGGTATAGAGATCAGAATCCTTCAGAGTCCTCAGTCTTCCACTTTCTAAGTGATGATCATTGGCTAAGAAACTTAACCTTTTGGAATCTCATGTTCTTTATCTGTAAAATGCTTGGCCTGCTTATTTCACAAGATTATTATGTGAATCAGATTAGATAATGTATAGCAAAATACTTTGGCATTCATAAAATGTGAGAAAGCTGTAAAATATGTTATTATAAAGCCTGATTTCCAAACAGAACTCCTTAGGTGAAACTTTCTAAAACAGGAGTACCATGCTTTGCTTATTTTATTTATTGGCTGTAATCTTCCTACTTTTGAATTCAAGAATTTTACAGGAGCTGGGTGTGGTGGCACTTCCTGTAATCCTAGTAAGGGAGGAAGCTCCTTTCTTGCTTACCAGTAGTGAGTGCAGGACCATCCTGAACTACATAGTGAGACCCTGTCTCAAAAGAAACAAAACAAAAGAAGAAAGATGAGGTCTAAGAATTTTACAGGATTGGTTATAAGCTCCTAAAGTTACAATATGAAGTGTTTCTTGTCTCTGAAATGAAGAATTATTTTAAGTCAGATTTTTTCTCTCTTCTTATTGATGTTGTTTTTTTGAGACAGGATCTGGCTGTGTAGCCCAGGTTGGCCTTGAACGTCTCCTGCCTTAGCCTCCTGAGCACAGGGGTTACAGGCATGGAAAAGGAAGCAAAAAATGAAAAACTGTGAACCCCACTTCACCTTCTCTTCTCTCAATCGTAGACTAGGAATTGTGGTGCTTCTGTTTCGGCAGCATTTGGCCAGATTCTGATCCACCCTATGAGTTTATTTGTGTGAATTTCCATGTTGTGGTAAAGCCCCACCTCCGCCCCCAAGTACTTGGGATTGAACCCAGAGTCCTTGAACTGGTCTGTATCCCTAGAGCTTTTATTTTTTTATTTTGAGACTTACTCATTTGGCCATGCTGACCTCAAAGTTATAATTCTGCTGCTTCAGCTCTTGTATAGCTGAAATTATATATCATACACTGCTTAAAAAATTCCTTTATAAATCAACAAAGAACATTGTTTATTATTTAAATATTTCTTTGTACTCTGACCTTCACAGAATTCTGAAGGTTATGTATCTCTAAACATTTTGGAAATTTACTTTGGAACCTTAGAGGTATGAAGTAATTTATCAACAGTTGCATGGGAAGTCCCTTCGGCAGTTAGCAGAAGCACTCAGATTGCTTTTCTTAGTTCAGTATAAAAGTAGGGCTACCGTTTTGCACACTGCCCAAAGATTTGATTTGGAATCAGTATTTATTTCAGTGTTCCGAAGCTTAAAAAAAAATAAAATAAAAAGCACTTGGTTCCAACTAGTTTGTAGGGGGAATATTATGCACTGAGCACTAAAAACAGTCTAGTTGTCTGTAAGACATATATAAACTTCGAGGATGAAAGAGCTATATATCTGTCTCTTTTCTTTATGAACTTTACACAGAATCTCAAAGAGTTCCTTATGAATTGTTGCGAGACTTTCAGTCATGAGACCACACATGGGATGAAAATCTTTTGAAAACTGTAAAATGGTACATGGAAGTATATTATAGTATTTTAACTTGTATCACTCTTACTGTGCAGAGAAGCAGACTTGTGTTGAGAACAGATTGATATTATTAACATAACAGTTCTCAAAGCATAGTGTTCCTTTACTAACTTTCTGAGCTTTTATTATTTGAGTACATGGAAGGGACATTGTTGGCTGGCTTTTTGTTCCTAAATATTTATTGAATAAATATTTACTAGACACTTATATGCCAAGCACCAACAGTTGCAGGAGAAGAAAGTCAATTGGCAAGACCCAGATGACCTTCACCTTCAGGATGTCTAGAAGAAGGGCCAAATGTTTAACAAAGAGCAATACTGATGTTATACAATGCTTGGTGTGGTGTGTGCTATAAGGGGAGACAAAGGCAGTCAGGGAGCTCTGAAAACTCAGGAGTCACAGTGCCTTTTCACTCTTTCTTTCAGGAAGTCATGTTTAGATGAAATTCAGAAGTGCCTCAGCATAGGGAATGTGCTAGGTAACTTCTTTATGTGAGTTTTGCCGGAAATAAATCTTTTAATTGTCTTGATGTCAGAATTTATAGTGCCTTGATCAAATCAGAGATAATTTGAAAAATTAGGCCAGAGAAACCCTACCTTTATATAACAGAAAGTTTATATAGAGTAGTTGAGTAACATCTGAGGTTGGTCAGTGATTCATTCACTAACCAGTATTTGAGTGCTTACTATCCCAAATACTTTTTTCTTGGCAGTGGTGTATTTCAGAATGATTTTTGTTCATCAGGCAGAATTTACTCCTCTTGAAATAAAACTATGTAGTAATATTGAATAAACTCAGTGATAGTCTTACTTGTTTTGAATTCTCTGCTTATGAATATTTGCAGTTAAAATTGTAGTTTGTCCTGTGGCCTTCAGTTTCCTGAGGACAAGCATAGAAGCTGGGAACCAGTTTGTTTAGTTTAACCCTAAAATCTTATCTTCAAGTGTGTGTTTTTTTAAATAAGAGATAAACAGTGTAACCACTACCAGTGGAGATTGATCTTTCAATTTTTTAATAACCTTAATTCTGAAAGTGAAAAAGATAGGAAACATGAGATTAAATGATAAATGACTTAACAGGTTCAAATTAGTGTCACAAATCATTTGCAGTCAGCAATAAAATGTGTACAGTCTTGTATTTTTGAGAGTATAGTCCATAGTCCTAAAGTTTATCAAAAGTAATGAAGATTAAGATTCACATTATACTTTGGTATATTTTTTTCACAATTTTTAATTTAACACACTTTACATTTAAAAGAATTGTCAGACTTTACTCATATGTTGTTTCTTTAGTATTTGCAATTTTGGGTTGTTAGTTTATTAGAAAATCTAGAGCATGTGTGTGTTTTTTTATTTTAAAAAAGATTAAGATAAAAGAGGACATAACATGTCAGAACAGAACAATGTAAGCAACATAGTGTTTCACCACAAGACAACCCTATATAACAGTAGCTACCATAGTGTCTCTTTCCTTGAAGTATTTGAATATACTTTCATACACTATAGTATCAAACATAACAAAAAGTATAAAACCATTCAAGAGAATGAAAGTATTACCGGCTATTCAGAGCCAGCTAACAGAAAATGAACAATGGTTACTATATTAT